AAATACTTTTAAAAAATTTATATATATATATATTATATTAATGTATACATCAAAGAACAATTAACATAACATTACTTTTTTTTCTGACGTAGAAATGGGTTTTGAAATTTTGCCAATTTAAAGAAATATGTTTTTGTACCTATGTACTGTACAACTATATATATTTTTTATAACTGTCTACTAAAAATAATGCTATAATATATTCTATTAATATAGATATAAATATATAATTTTAATTGAGTTTCTATCATTATTAATTTTATTTTATTTCGGAAATGAAAAATCTAAGTGTAGAGTTTAAGAGGTTTTCTTATTTTTTTTATTAAGAATTTATAGATTCGATAAGATTGGAATGTAATCAAATTTTGCAAGGATGTTTGTATATTAGGGGGATTGATGCTATTAAATTTTGGGCGATTAAAGGTCGAGGGAGTAGGGAGATAAAGGGGGTCGTGTGTATTTCCAGTAGAGTCATTTACTCGTTATTAGCATTTATATAATTTTTCTATAACCGATCCCTATTCTCAAAATTAAGGTTTCTTTCATTTTATAATAGTTAAAAATATAAAAAAGTTTTTAATAATAAAATACGACAACAGATGGCGCCACTAAATGTTGCCGGAAAAGTTGAGTAACTCGTTGCTGGATATTTTAGTCCTGAGTGTATACTACGTGCTGTACATTAGGGTTGAGTAATTCCGGGTCATAATTGTTCAGACTTGAAACTACTACGAATCGTTCCATACAGAATGTTGAAACAGTTCTGTACTTTTATGAATACAGCTTTTCGCGGAATAGTGTACCGTATTTCAGCTTGAATTAAATGAAATAGACAGGAAAAGCCTTTACTATCAGAAGAATCTTGGTATTGCTTTCTGTGCGGAGAAGAATACGAAGAGGACATGATCCATTGTTTGAGCTGTAAAAAAATAGGATTTACGAAAAGTGAGAGGGCATTATCAAGCAGGAAACAGTGTTTTTTTTCTAGTTGCACTTTATAAATGACCTTTGAAATTTATGTAATGTTACAAATGAATACAATTTAAAATGTTTTCTAATCATTACTGCTTTGTATTTTACCCATTGATGAAAAAAAACATGGTCCAACTAATGAATTCCTGGTCCATCTATCGAAATGTATGGGCCTCCTACTCATATGCTTTCCATATCTAGTCTCAACTTTCATCTATCTAACACCGTTCTCGAGATCAAGGAAGGACAGACAGCCTGATGGACGCAAGTGGAAATTTATAGGTCTGCAATATTCAAATTGCAGTCCAAATAGTTTTTATGCTATGGTAAAAAAATAAATAAAATCGATAATTTAATAATATAAATCTGAAAAATGTCTTGCATTCAATTAACAAATTTTCATCCTATAAAAAATAAATATAAATTCCCAAAAAATGGCACACAAGCTCATTAAAGAAACTATGCAATAATATCAGGTCACTTTGGCGTAAATGGAGAACTAATGGTAATACTGTATTAAACTTTTTTATATATATCATATAAAGAATTTAAAGCACTACTATAAAGAATGCAAAAACCATTAACTACTTTAATAAAATTGTTACCGATTTCGCCTGTGGTTCTAAAACCTTTGGAGGTTTGTTCCTAAGTTTTTAAAACATTACATAAACTATTGGCATATCATTGCCGATGATAAAATCTATAATAAAGTTTATCTCGCTTTTTCAATATACTTTACGAAGCTTCTTTTCAACCTCTACTTCCATATTTCACTAATTTAAAACAGCTTGGCTTAATTTCACCTCGTCCTTTATTCTCTTTCCCAAAAATCTGCGAGGCTACTGATTCTTTATCAACTAATACTCTTAATCCCGATCTTATTCTCATTATATTTTATTACAAAAAAAAATTAAAGTCCGTATCATCTAACTTTCTTTACATCTGCCCCTCTATATTTGAGCATTGTTTTATGTCATTTATATTTTACCAAAAAGAGGATACTGATTCCTTTCTCACTATCTCCCTTACTCCCACTATGCTTAAGAAATTTGGAATTTGTGTATATCGTTCCTTATATAGCCCTATTACTTTTCCTATAAGCACAGCTCAACATTCTGGTATTATTATTCATTGTTCCACTACAGTAAACGTCTTGAAATTTAATCCGTTATTTTATCTAACTTTTGAATTAAACTTTGAATTACAAAATGAAAGTCTCTGACTTATACTTTCGGCATTTCTCCTCACTATTAAGGTTCTATTCTTAGTAATTTATTCTTCATCGCATAGCATCACTTTCTCTTGTCAATTCCTGCGTGGATGGTATCAAGATGGCTAATTCCTGCCAAATAAAATTACAAGATGACATAAACAAATTAAATGAATATTTTAAAACTTTAAATCTTTTAACAAACACTAATAAAAATAAAGTCGTGTTATTCAGTCTTGTAGGAATTTCTCCCAACATTAACTTACATCCAAATAATCAGAATTTACGACTTGTACAAAATGTTTATGATCTAGGAATAATATTAATCCTAAACTCACCTTTAACCTGTATGTTAATAATTAAAGAAAAAAATCTCTATCCACCGTAAAATGTTATGACGCAAGTTTAAAACAATTTCAGCCAGTATTTTCGGTTAAAATTGTTCAATATTTCTCAACTAATAAGTAAAGATTTTATTGGGTGGAACAGTAAACTTTAATGTATTGTTAATAGCTGTGGTTATCTGAAATAAATGTGCGATTTAATTATAACAGTTGTGAAATTTAACACATCATTGTTACTGATGTGAGGTATTGTTCTTTAATTTAGAACGTTTAGTTTAAATTAAACATTACTACGTTAAAAGTAAACGTTAAGTGGTGTTGATTTACATTTGTTTTAATGCTCATGATCATAAGACAAACGTGACAAAAAAATGAAAATTTCCTCAAAATTAAGCTTTTCGCCATTTTATTATAGTTTTAAAGTAAAATAACATTTATTTAAACATTTATNAAATATATTAGTAGTGGCTTGCCCCTGTACATCATACTTTTCCTTTAACAATAGAGTCGTGCCGTTCATCTAACATATAACACCTTTCAGGAAAATATGTTTGAATTGAAATAACATTACTTTTGGTTTATATCGGAAGTTTTTATATAGTTAATCAAGGCCTCCTGCCCCTCGGATTTCCATTTCTGGGAATTTATAGGTCTACAGTTTTTTTTTTTCAAATTACAGTGTAATTATTATAAATTGTCTTTAAGTCCGACTCTATTGGAAATACAACACCCTTTATCTCCCCACTCGTACGACCTTTAATCATCAAAATTTAATAGCATCAATCCCCCTAATACACAAACATCCTTGCAAAATTTCAGAAATTTTCGAAAAAAGTACAGGGTTTTTTTTTCTGTATGTATGGATATTAGTGTGTGGGGGCACGATTTTGTTCACCCTCGTTGAAAGCTTAATAACTCCTGTGATTTTTGTCGAAAATTTCATAAATTTTGCAGGGAGGTTTGTTTATTACGGAGATTGATGCTATTAAATTTTAGTAATTAAAGGTTAAAGGGGTGGGGAGATAAAGGGAGTCGTGTGTATCTCTAATAGGGTCGGACTTAATGACGATTTTACTAGCATTTACAATTTTTTATAAAACACATCTCTATCCACAAAATTAAGCTTTTTGCCATATACAATAGTTAAAAATATAAAAAAAAAATTTTAAATAAAATATGGCAACAGATGGAGCCACTAAAATTTTATATATTGCCGGGAAAGTTGAGCAACTTGTTGCTGGTTTATTTCTGATGTTTCGTAGTATCTGATATGATTTTACAGTTTTCAGATTTCAATATGGCTGATCACTGTCAATAGTGTCTTATTAAGACAATATTTCATTCAAAAATACCACATGGCCCGAGTACTCGATAATATAATAATAATTAAATACCTTATTAATGTTCAAAAAATTTTCTAAATAAAGAGATACGATGTTAGAAAAACGATTGAAAAATTACAAATAATATCAAATAAATTAATAAGTAAACTGTACACGTGGCATTTATTATCAGGAAACATTTCCTTTTATAATACAAAAAATACGGAAAATATCCCGAAATATCTTTAAGCTCTTTAATTATTCTCCAATTAATGAATATGATAAGATTAGTCTATGGAAGTAATTAGAGGATTAAAATTGATAGGTCAATTTCCTTCCCTAATTTTGATATGAATTCTCTGAAAGGAAATAAACTGTGTATATCATTTTATAGAGTCATAATAATTGTAAGCGACATTAAAACCTTGTATATAAGATTAAATGAACATGAATAAATTTGGATTGTTTATATTTTTCTCTATAATTTCTTTATTTGAATGTTCATTTTTTATTTTAAATCCCAATAGTTGCGGTAAGTTATTATTATTATTTTATATTATAATTTCTTACCTTATGTAAAAAATCATTTTAAACTGAATTATTAACAATAAAATTTTTAGCTTTATTCTACAATGAAATGAAAGATTTTACCGAATGTTTAAGAAACGAACTTTCTTCAAAGCCTGCAAACGTAAGTTGAATTTTAAAGCTCATTAAAATTATTCTACCCTTATCGAAATACAAATGATACTTGGTGAACAATTCCTCTCATTAGTATTATACTTTAATAGTAAGTAATACGAATTTACATGTATAATATTTTAATATATCGACGGTTTTATATTTATTGTAGAGATATAAGTAGATAAATAAGGCAAAAATTATTCCAAACTATTAAATAGTAAGTGTAGAAAAACACAAATTTTACAGGTAAGTTTGATTGATGCTATTAAATTTTGGTGGTTAAAGGTCGATGGGGGTCGTGTGTCATATCTATCATGTTAGGTTTTAAGCAAAAGTTAATTAAAAATTTGTAAATGTTACATTAACATTTTTCTGCTAATAGGCTTTTACACAATTATTGGATTGCATAGAAGAAAATCACAGAGAAGAAAGCGAAATATTTTTAATAAAATTTTATCTTTGCGAGAAAAGCGAATTAATTACTAGAGAGGTATATTAATTATATTTTATCTTTATTAATAACTGAAATATAAAATTTTATTATTAAAATCAAATCTTTATGATTTTAAGATAATGCAATGCTTAATAAGAAATGGAAATGTAAGTCATAAATATTTTAAATATCATTATGTTAAATTTTTATGATTTTTTTAAAATCAAAATTGATTTCTTTTCAGCTTGAGAAAGTTCGAAATACTTTATCAGATTATCAACTGGAGCTTTATGATTCTTCAACTGCGTGCTATCGGGCTTTAACAGGAAAGAAATGAAAATTTTGCATACATTCGATTAACTACACATTCGATTTCAATGTTATTTGAATTAAGATTAATATACATATATAGGCCTATATTTTATATAAATAAATTTAAATTGTTTACGATGTTATGATGAAATTTAAATTCTTGCTTTAAATTTAATAAAATGTTATAATAATATGTTTGTACATTAAATTTTTAATAAGAAAAAGCATGATATTTAATACATAATTTATAGTATGTAATAACTATTATGTAATATAAATAGTATTTTAAGAAATAGGAGAACTCATTTCAATTTTACTTTCTTACAAGCATCGAAAGTCTAGACATTTATGTTAAAATTCCACCATTTATCTATATTAATACAGTATAAGAATTGATCTTAACATTTCTAAAGAGTGTTATGTTATTCGTAATGTAATTGGCTATACAATTTTTATTTATATAACATTGCCTTTTCTAGTTTGTAAACAGATAATATTAGAAATTTAAATTTAATTAGTCATTCGATGTTTGCTTTGGCTTAACAGTAATTTTCCTCTAATTTCTAGTAGATCTAATGTACTGAGTTTGTTGAAGAATTACATAACTGGTAAATCGCCCACTCAAAAGTTATGCACAGTCAGCCTTAACATTGTTATCTGATATTATTCTAGAAACCATTAAGTATTTGTGGAAGATTTACACCCAGTTCTGGTTTTATACAACGAAGAGCTAAAGCTCAATAGACATGGATTGATATTATTCGTTTATGGAAATGCTACACATGGGAAATCTACCGAGGAAGAATGCCTCCCGGGAGATCTTTTATGGGAAATTGGTCCGTGTATTATTTTAATTTTGGAAATAATTTCACAATTACATTTACTGAATAAATTTTTATTTTATTTAAGATATTTTAAAAATCGAAAATTTCTTTAAAAGACTTTAAAACGAGAATTTTNCGTTAACACGTAAGGTATAAAAATTATTGTTCAAGTCTTTTGGGAGGGACGTCTGTCATGTCTACTTGATCCTTGGTCATCTTGGTCAAGTACATTTGAGCGATCATCTACCTGATCTTGAACTTCCACTTCCGGTGCTTCTTCCTCGGAACTTACGTCTTCATCGAGGACTGGCGCATCTCGCTTGTAATATGACGAAAATGTTGCACATGAACGATTTTCTGAAACTTTCTTTGTGCTGTGAGCTTTAAAACGAGAATTTTCTTCTTTAAACTTTATAATGATTTTTTTTTTTTTTTCAAAATTCTTCTCATACCACAATATTAAGAAATAATAATAATATCGATAAACATTAAATTAATATTTGTAGGAATGAATCGATTTTTATCTCAGGAAGAAAGGACCTATTTTAATATCAAATTCCTTGAATTCAGGGATGAGAAAAGCTGAGACCATTACACCAAGTAAAATTAAAAAGTTTATGAAAAAAAGAAACGTTATCCACCAAATGAAATCTATTCCTTTAATTGTTAACGGTGAACTCGGATAAACAGTTATAATTGGATTAATAGGAGCAGTTACATTTTCAATGCTTTCATTTGATGTTACTAAAGTATATCTTATGTTATAATCAATTATTTTTCTCAAATTTCTTTTAAAATTCGTATATGTATCATTAGATATTTTAGAGTTAACTATATTTTCTTTAAAATTTTTTAAAATAACTTTGTTTTGTCTCATAATAGTTTTAAATATGGATATTTCATTAGAAGAAACATTTTTATCCTTAAATGTAAATCTATTCTTCTTCGTATAGGATTTATTTGAATTTGTATTTGTTGGCTTATTTTTGTAATCTAGAAAATAAAACCATAATTATTAATATATAATACAAGTAAATAAAAATGAGTATGATCTAATAGAAGACAAATCAATATTGTAAGGCTCGCCATATTATAGTAATATAGTTGTATTTGGGAGTGTAGAAGGAATATTTTGTGAAAAAAGAAACGTGAGTTATCATATAATTTAATAGTACTTATAATATATTTTCTAATAGTATTTTGTATAAAGTTTTATGCAGTTCTGGCATGTCTGAAAATTGGAAATTAGCATCAGTTTATTAATAATACTCTGTAATGGATGTGTAATCATTACCCATCTAGTTAATGTAATAATGTTTTTAATTATATTTACATAATTGTAATTATAATAGTAATTAGTAGAATATTATTTTCTACAATCACAGCACTGAAGAAGGATCAAAATTTACAAAATACATGTGTATTAAGTCAATAAAATTGCTTTGTCATCGTTAACCATTGGATGTTGGAATTGCTGGATGAAATACTTAAACTTAATGGTTTAGAATTAGAGAATAACTACAATACGTATATATGTATTGAAAAACCCTATATATGTGTGTGTATATGTATAAATGTTTAATTTTCAAAATTATATCCTCTGTAATATATAAATATGTTGCAGGATTTTTACAAAATGCTGGATCTTTATAGAGAAAACGGAGACTTCTCTATCAGAGTAGAATTTTTATAATAAGATTGAAAAATTTCTCCCTTATCACAATTCGTTTTGTATTAACAAAATGTCATACAAATTGATAAGCCTCTTAATTAATTTAAGGTTAAGTAATTTAAACAATGCACGCTTATCCTAAAGATTATACAACATGAAAATAGGTAAATACAACAGCATTTTTAGAAAATGCACGATAAATCATTGGAAATGAGACGTTTTGTAAATAGAATGTCAAATGTTAGTAAAACAAATATACAATATAACGAATAAAAAACTTACTTAGTTTCTTAATAGTAGAAAATATTACTTAAATTTAAATAATATAATGATACAAAATTTACATACGTTAATCATAAGAATGTAAAATTTTAAAATAAAAATTAAAATAACGATATACGCTATAGAATTTTTACAAATCTGTAAGCTATATTATTAAACTATTTCGGCAAGAAAATACTGTACAGTAGACCCCCTATAACACGGTAGCTACGTTCCGCGTTATATGAATTCCGTGTTGTACGAGTCACTTAAATACATTAACCAATCACAGCCCGGCACGTGTGCAGTTTAGTGGCTACGGCTGTTTGAAAGGTTTTCTTTCATAAAATTAATCGATTCTAGACTAATTTGACTCAACATTTCCAAATTACGTATACTTTTTGGGAATAATCCATATAAACTATTCTATAAACAAAAAATTGCAGGATTACTTACCGAGTGCGCACAGTTTTCAATTTTTCTGCCGTGTTATACGAATCCGTGTTATATGAACCCGTGTTATAGGGGAGTCTACTGTACTTCATTTATAAAAATAGGGTTTTTATACTTACGATTTGTGTAATTTTTCCAAAATCTACAATTTGAAATTTCTGCAATTAATTTTTTGCAATTTTTTTCTTTTCGTATGATACTGTTAATTTCTCTTTTAAGATGAATAATACGAGAAATATAATTATCTGATTTATTTTCTGACATATTCCCAGTAAAATTAAAATTAATTAAATATTTTAATCTTTTAAATGTATCTCTGCATCTTAAATCCTGAAAAAATATTAGTAAAAGAGAGTAATTTTATAAAATTATATCTTTTTTTTATAAGAATTATATTATTGTCAATAGATGGTGCTATGTGTAAGGTAACAAATCTAATATAGATAGAGAAATTAATTAATTTACAGAAATCCAATAGATATTTTAGGATGGAATTTACGACATTATCTAAGTTAGGTGTATATAAACGTAACTGCCGAGTTTCGTAGTAACTGGTCGAATGGCCTAGGAGTGTATAGCGAGCAAACAAACAAACATTCTCATTTATATATATATAGATGAAGTAAACTTTCTTTCTTACCTTATTTAGTTCTTTCATTTTTAAAGAAAGTGTCTTATTTAAACAAATTTCAAATTTATTATTCGAGTGAATTTCCATAATCATAAGAAAAAAATAAAGAAAAAGTAAATTATAAATAAAATAACGCATCTATAAAGAGAAACATTAATTTTAAATATATTATTTATGGATATATTTATAATTTTATTAAACTTTTATTTACCTTAATAAAACTTATTTTATTCTATAATTAACTATGGCTTATTGATTGGATATTGTTTAAAATAATAAATAAGAAACAAATTATTTAATTGTTGTGTTGTAATGGTAAAATTTAAAATGAAAAATGTTTTAAAATAAAATTTTTAGGATGCAAATATTTACAGTTTAATAAAATTGCCTAATACAATATTTATCTAGAATCATATTGTGTAATATTCAAATTAAGGCAATAATTAAATTTATTTTCTGTGAAATTATTAACAAATCATTGACAATGTAAGGGATTGGATTTGAATGAAGGCATAATAAGGCAACGTAATACATGAGAGATCTGCCGAGAGGGATGCTTTCCGAAAGCATTTTCTATGAGAAACTGGATGCTATTTACTGTAGGTGTTAGACATGTGAAGAAAACTCGGAAAACCATTTAATAAGGTCATTGCTGAGGCGGGAATTCAGCGGTTTTATCCACTCAACCATTGGTGAACGACAATGTAAGGGATGACGACAAGGGTCTTCTTGTCATAATCCCTTACATTGTCAATGTTTCTGGGTAACGTTGGTAAAACAACTGTTTTACCAACGTTTTGCTGATTGTGAATATAGCAAATAATGTAAGAGGATAATGAATCGTTGAATGGTGTATTACAGGCCTCAGTAGCGCAGCAGGTAGCGCGTCAGTCTCATAATCTGAAGGTCGTGAGTTCGAACCTCACCTGGGGCACGAATTTTTATTATATTTTCTATACAATTTCGGCTTAGAGAATTTTGATTTGGAAACTTTTGCGGATGTCAGCGATTGCTTTTCCGATAATATCATTCTTGTTGCCTTTCAGTTGTAATTATGAACACCAGGCGAATGATCGGTTGATTTCAAATAAAGGTAATTAATTTACAATACTTGATTGTTCACGTGCCTTAAGCGAAGATTACGATTTTTCAGATAAACATAGAGTTCGTATGGTTGTTGCGGATGCAAAATAGTAAAAGGCAAGCGAGAAAATATCAATAATACGTTGGAACTAAAAACGATGCAGTCTGAGCAGCATATCGATATCGGAAATATCCCACTTCGTTCCGAATAATCGAATGTAATGTATACACGTTTGCAGAGTTGTGTAAACATTTGCAGATTTCAATAACTGCACTTGTTATTTTCAGTAAAATGAAATGCCACACTATTGGGTAAACCAGTGTTTTTCAACTTTTTTTTTTATCTCACGGCACACTTGAATCTATAATTAAATTTCCGCGGAAAAATTACGTTACAAACAAGTTGTGTTTGTAAATATTGTATCACCATATTACTTGCCACTTAGCCTGATTCATTTTCTTTATATCTTTTGTAAATTAAATAAAACAGTATTGTAGTTCTTTAAAATAACAGCAGGCTACAAAAATAGTTAAATTAATAATTTTCATTTATATAAGAGAAGCAATTAAGACGATGTCGTAAGCCTTAGTAGCGCAGTAGGTAGCGCGTCAGTCTCATAATCTGAAGGTCGTGAGTTCAATCCTCACCTGGGGCATATTTTTATTTTTTCATTTGTATACCGTTCGAGCCAGTAGAGTTTTAGTATCATTCGAAACTTTTTCAAACACCACCAATATATCCTGGGTAATCTCGATGTTGTTGGTTTTCGGTTTTTAACATGGAAGAGGAAACGATTGACCTGTTGCTTTCGGTAGATTCGAATTGATGTATAATAGTTTAAGGTGACGTGCTTTTCAGAAATTTCGTAAAATCAAATTGCAATCGTAATTTGTGTATTGTTGCCGTACTCGGTCATCCGGAGTTGTATACTCATTCCACCTAATACAGACAATGACCACAACTTCACTTATATCGAGATTTGGAATGCCATCTGTTCGCTCACCGATAACAAAGCCCCAGGTCTTGACGATATAACCACTAGGATGATAAAGCACGCATTATTTGGCAGGAAAATCTCGTCACCTTACTGTGGCGAGATTATAGCTACTTGGATGTCGACAAAATGATTAGAGTAGATAAGATTCCCCCAGTTTGACCTTGATCGATGATATCAAAAAATTCAGCATCGACAGAAATACCCTCCCGACTTACGATTACCACCCCTCCCATCAGCTTCCCACTGACGTTTACTTCGAAGATCCAGGTGATCCCATGTTTAGGATTTACACTGACGGTTCCAAGATGGGTGATGATGTGGGTGCCGCTTTTGCAGTTTACTCCGACTCAGGCCGTGAGCTTCACAATGCTTGCTTCCGTCTAGATACACACTGCTGAATCGCACAGACGGAAACTTTAGCTATTTATATGAGCTTAATTCACATTAGGCGTAGGAAGGACAAAAGACACTACTTACACTATCGCATTTATTCTGACAGTAGGGTAGCTTTACACAGGATTGCCAAGTCTGATAGCCGCTTAAAACCCATCTCTCTCATACACCACATTCTCACGCTCAGACAACATTTGAATAATATCCAATGGGTCCCGGGTCATGCGGGGGTTCTTGGCAACGAGACCGCTGACCATCTTGCCAAACAAGCTGCAAAGTCTTCAGTCACTAGTACTTTCAGTTACATTCCTACCTCGTACATCAACAATCACGTCAAGAAGCAAATCTTCATTCTAAGGCAAGACAGCTGAGACCATGAAACTACTGGTAGGCTCACCTACCCTTTTATCTCCAAGGTTGACACTAATGCGATTCTTCGCCACTTTTACCCTAGTTACACCCTCACTCAGCTACTTACAGGACACGGCAACTTTAAGCAATATTTGCATAGATTTAACCTTGGAGACAATCCACAATGCGATTATGGTGTTCAGGAGGACCAAATACCACTTCACTTAGTTTTTCGCTGCAATAGGTAGGCCTACAATCACATTTGGGATAGTTTAATGAGAGTTGCTATTCTTGAAAGGTACAACTGGCCTTGCAACCCGCACCACCTCATTCACACGTATTAAGGTACAAATCGAATTCGAGTATGTTCCGACAGTCGTAGACTATTATAATTAATTTAAACAAAGATTCCCGAATATCAAATCAAACTAAACACTTCAGTGTTAATCCGTCTCTCCTCCGTTCGATTTATTTCATTAACTATAATTGTTAATGGATACGCTGATTCCATAAAATTAAAAAATAATAATTCTTAATTTCCACTTGAGGTCATGGATTAAACTGTCATGATTAATACGGATGGATTAATATCGTTCGTTTTGAATGTTAGCGTGTCAGAAGACAATGAAACACACTTTACATAAAATTTACCAATTGTTGCAGTTAGGTTAACAAATCTCTGAGAGGGACAAGTCAGCCCACCCCGATCTAAGTGCCTGATCAAACGTAAAGGGGGCTTATCTTGAAAAGTAACATGCCAGCATCCTTAGGTTGCATTCTGCAGTAAGGAAATATTAATCTAAAAATGTTTACTTACAAAATTTTGAAAAATATTTTCTTTTTTTTTCTATCAAACATTGAAATTACAAACACGAACAATTATTTAATAAAAAAACACTTTGAACAGCAATCTGACCAATGCTTCACTCAGACTCATACCATTTTCACAGCTATCATATCATTGTTAATGAAGAAACAGGTCGAGCTTTGTAGTGTAGAAGCCTTAATTAAAATGGCTTCTAATTTTTGAAAAATTATGTAATTTTTTTTAATAGCACGTCTTGAACAATATAAAAATCATCACATATATATATAATTGTAATTTTTACCAATTATATGTTAGGTAGCATTAGGATTTTCCGTTTTCCCCAAGAAAGGAGTTCAAGAAAGTTATCTGCATTCAAAGAAAACAGAATTTCTTGTTTTTTTTCTAATGCAGTAGAAAACTTTTTCTTTGACAAGAATTATTTTTTACTTTGATCAGTTTGTTAATTTGTCCACTCGTTTCAATAATTAGCTCCATTTAGTTCAGGTTAACATCAATGTGAATTTTTTCTTAGAACTGGCATCTCTCCAAATCATTTGGCAATATCTTAAGGTTGATTCACATTACACGGCTATCCGGTGGCAGGCTATCGACCGTCACTGGACCAACAAAACATTGCATTGGGATTTCTTTAATGAAAGTATTCACACCAATCGTCACCAACATCTGTAGGCCACTGTGTTTGGTGGGAATAGTGTATGTCGGTTCCTTGTCACATGAGGCTAGTGTGAACAGTATAAGGTTTCGATATGACGAGAGCGAGCGTTATTGATGAAGAAACGAACATAACACAACTAATAAATAGGGGATTTAATATTTTAAGCTTACCGGCTAGAACAGACAGCGATATGGACGTTCAAACATGGCGATCTGCGGCGACAACGGCGCCGTCATTAAACAAAACAAAATGAGACCTTACATTCGGCTCCGCTCAATGAGAAATTTAAGGACAAAGTACAAATTTAAAATTGAAGCGTTAACACGTAAGGTATAAAAATTATTGTTCAAGTCTTTTGGGAGGGACGTCTGTCATGTCTACTTGATCCTTGGTCATCTTGGTCAAGTACATTTGAGCGATCATCTACCTGATCTTGAACTTCCACTTCCGGTGCTTCTTCCTCGGAACTTACGTCTTCATCGAGGACTGGCGCATCTCGCTTGTAATATGGACGAAAATGTTGCACATGAACGATTTTCTGAAACTTTCTTTGTGCTGTGAGCGATGTGATCTCGTAGCACACGGCCCCGATTTGACGAACAATCTTAAATGGTCCTTTGAACATTGGCGAGAATTTATGATCGTGTTGTTTCGGTCAGTCGTATAAGATGATATCTCCAGGTTTAAACGAATGGGGTTGGCGATGGAGATCAAATCTCCTTTT